TGAAACTCTAAAGAACCTTTTAGTTCTAAAAGTCCTTTAACTGACCTGCAACTTTTCTGTTAACTTACTAATCGGATCAATTTCCGCTGAAAATAGATGCACTCATACTTGCATAGGATAATGTACGGATTAGTGGATCCCCAATCATTGTATTTTGAACATATGTATGAGGAAGGATCTCTATGCCAATAATGTTGGATCATGGGTAGTCTCAGCCTCAGACGTCACACCCACGGACCGCATAAGGCACACAAAAATGGGAAATACAGACTTCGGGAGTTTCAAAGTCGTCATCTGATTGGTTGAATTCTGCAGGATTTCCGGGAGCCGCGTGTGTCGCGTTCTTTAAAGGTCCGTCTGGAAACGAAGCAGTCGTGGAGCCAAACCCCCTCATGGAAAAAAGAAAGCCTTGCGACAACGTTCTTGAATGATTCATTTAGTGGATGCACGCCGTTCTGTTATCGTAGGGATATCGACCCCTAAACATGACGGTCAGACGTCCTCTGGGGCGGTCCATGGCCAGTGAAACCTGCGGAGGAGTCCAGACCTTCACTAGATCACGAGTGGCAGGGCGTCGAGGCAGAGGGTGGCACTCGGTGCAGTCATCAGACACGGAGAGCAGTCGCACTGATAGGATTACTCTATGAGATCTCTACCCGTCTCTCCTCTCCCGACGGCTCAGCTCTTTATCCTCTCATGCCAGGGAAGCTCTTGTTTGACAGTCGCCGGAGGAAAGCATGTCTGCTCTCTCGAGGCGCGGATTTAACAGCAGACGCACTTAATAGAACTCTTGCTTTAATCATCACTGTCAGACGACTTCGGTTAGTTTACACATTAAACCCCTCATTTGTGCGTATAATAATACTAGAGACCACCTAGAGAGTATTTTAAGGGAAGGAATAAGTGATCGCATTCCCTGAAAGGCGGTTTCCTCTAGATAGTCCTGCAAAAGAGTGTCATTATTTGTTGTAAGGGTGTTTACATAGATCTGTTTTCAACCAGTAACAGCATCCTAACTGAAATGCTGCCTCACAGGGGACTGATTTGAAATGCATTTTTTTTTTGCATTTAATTTTTTAACTTTTTTTAATTGACAAAGTATAAAAACATGTAAATGAAGTAATAATTTTGCTATTATTTGAACTTACAAAAACTTTTTTATACCAGTGGCAATTAGCATATTTAATGGAAGTAATTCATTGTAAGAGTCTTAGGTGGTTGTTTTTAATTTGTTGTATGATTATGATTATTGTTTGTGTTTTAATTGTTTTTTTATGAGAAGGCAAAGGAAAATTTGTGGATAAAGTTCAGTCAGTTAATTGATCAATCAATCAATAAAACAAATCATATATTTCAACAGTTTAAATAATACATACACACAAACATACTCCATTCAAACTGAATATTACACACACACACACACACACACACACACACACACACACACACACACACACACATATATATGTATATATATATTTATATATATACACTCACCGGCCACTTTATTAGGTACACCTGTCCAACTGCTCGTTAACACTTAATTTCTAAGCAGCCAATCACATGGCGGCAACTCAGTGCATTTAGGCATGTAGACATGGTCAAGACAATCTCCTGCAGTTCAAACCGAGCATCAGTATGGGGAAGAAAGTTGATTTGAGTGACTTTGAACGTGGCATGATTGTTGGTGCCAGAAGGGCTGGTCTGAGTATTTCAGAAACTGCTAATCTACTGGGATTTTCACGCACAACCATCTCTAGGGTTTACAGAGAATGGTCCGAAAAAGAAAAAACATCCAGTGAGTGGCAGTTCTGTGGGCGGAAATGCCTTGTTGATGCCAGAGGTCAGAGGAGAATGGCCAGACTGGTTCGAGCTGATAGAAGGGCAACAGTGACTGAAATAACCACTCGTTACAACCGAGGTATGCAGCAAAGCATTTGTGAAGCCACAACACGCACAACCTTGAGGCGGATGGGCTACAACAGCAGAAGACTCCACCGGGTACCACTCATCTCCACTACAAATAGGAAAAAGAGGCTACAATTTGCAAGAGCTCACCAAAATTGAACAGTTGAAGACTGGAAAAATGTTGCCTGGTCTGATGAGTCTCGATTTCTGTTGAGACATTCAGATGTTAGAGTCAGAATTTGGCGTAAACAGAATGAGAACATGGAACCATCATGCCTTGTTACCACTGTGCAGGCTGGTGGTGGTGGTGTAATGGTGTGGGGGATGTTTTCTTGGCACACTTTAGGCCCCTTAGTGCCAATTGGGCATCGTTTAAATGCCACGGCCTACCTGAGCATTGTTTCTGACCATGTCCATCCCTTTATGGCCACCATGTACCCATCCTCTGATGGCTACTTCCACCATGTCACAAAGCTCTAATCATTTCAAATTGGTTTCTTGAACATGACAATGAGTTCACTGTACTAAAATGGCCTCCACAGTCACCAGATCTCAACCCAATAGAGCATCTTTGGGATGTGGTGGAACGGGAGATTCGCATCATGGATGTGCAGCCGACAAATCTGCGGCAACTGTGTGATGCCATCATGTCAATATGGACCAAACTCCCTGAGGAATGCTTCCAGCACCTTGTTGAATCTATGCCACGAAGAATTGAGGCAGTTCTGAAGGCAAAAGGGGGTCCAACCCGTTACTAGCATGGGGTACCTAATAAAGTGGCCGGTGAGTGTATATACACTGTATATATATTCATTTCATTTCATTTAGATTCATTTAACAGTTCAAGACCCAATCAATTATTAAAAAGATAAATAAAAAAATAAATGCATAATTTTGCATAAAGTCTTTTTTAAATGAGAAGCCAAAGGAAAATTTCCACATAGGTGTATAATAAAGTTCAATAGATCAATCAATCAATAGATAAAAAATCAATCGATAAAATTAATAAATTGAATAATTAAACAAATAAAATTCTGTTTTTAACAGTTTGAATAGTATATACAGTATATATATATATATATATATATATATATATATATACATACATACGTGTGCGTGTGCGTGCGTGTGTGTGTAAATATGTGTATGTTACATACACATATTTACACACACACACACACACACACGCACACACACAGTTCAAAAATGAGTTTTTCAAAATATTAAACTCACCCCAAACAATCTGAGAAGAGCATCAGTGGCGTTTGACGGCTTCAGGCTCAGCTATCGTGACCTGAAAAAGAAAAGAGAAACATAAAAACTGAAGCTGTACTGATAAAAAACAACAACAACAACAAGAAAAAGACACAAATAAACTCAAGTTTACCATAAATGTGCAATGGTTTACAAAGCTTATAGTATGATAATATTAAACATTCATTTATTTAAAGCTATAGCACACATACAAATATATAAGTTTAGCTCCTTCTTAAACATAATTGGTGATAATAATGATTAGTTAAAGCAATATTACAGCTATTTATTAATCTTTTTACAATTTTCCTTCTAATTTAAGTTCCTCAGCAAAAACGTAAGCCAAGAAAAACTTTAAATGAACAGATTTGTTTTGGTTTTATCCAGTTTAAGGGCTAGTTTAGATGAGATTAGATTGTGACGGGTTGTTTACCTTGTGGAACGAAGGCCTGTAAATACAGCTACCGCCATCCTCATCAGCTCTGAGGTCAGCTGGGGTCATTTAGAGGTCATGTGGGGGCGGGCTGTTTAGTGGACTATAGAGACGGTCATGTGACCGGAAGGGGGAAGAAAGAGCAAAAACAGCAAGCAGAAATCCCCAAAAAAGAACCAAGTTCAAAAAGCCACTGCTTACATTATTGAATCTTAGAATATGAAAGACAATATGTGGAATTACTTTCCATGTGCAACATCTTACTGATGCAATAGTACCGTGTCTATATAGTCTTGTAAAAAAAATGATGTAAAGGAGTATGATTAAAGATATATTAGTAGATAATTAACTTCATATGCTTTACCACAGAAGAGTCTCATGTGTTTTCAAGTAGAAAGAATTATAACAGATAATAAGGTAGGTTTATAATTGGAAATTTATTTCAAGCTGCTGGGTACGGTATATTACAGATGAATTTAATTGTGCTGGTTGCAATTAAATTTAATTCTACAAAGGGAATTCTTGTCAAAATAGTGACATGCATTAGATTCATTCTTTTTTTTTTGTGGGGGGGACTACAAAGTTAAGAGGGGGGGGGGGGGGGGGGGAGGTTTACTAAACTTTTTGGTTTATTTTCACATTTATGTGGGCTTAAAGGATTTTTTTCCCCATTCCTTTTTCTCACAACGTACGCTACACTTGTTAAAATGATAATACACATCAGATATTAGTTTAGATTATGCACTTTTAACAAAGTGAACAAGGACAAAATGTGCTCTCAAACACAATGATCATTTTGCTTTCAAAAAGTTTATTTTATAATCAACTGAGACGAGAATTAAAGGGCTTACACAAGCTTACAAATATTATAGCTCTTAACAGAAATGTATTAAACTGCCACCACCAGTACCACAATAATTTTCATTACTATCACCTTTTAAACTTCAGCATACATTTGATTAGACTTTTAATAGTTTTATAAAAGAGTACTAGTTAAACTTTAGTCAACAGTATTTGGTTTAGAAATGACCAGTAACACTTTGCTGTGCACTTAAAATGCATTACAACAAGGTTTAAAGGATACACAATGTGCCCAAAACTGCTGGATTCCCTTGAAATTTCGTAGACTATCACAAGCGATGCTTTTCGTTTGTTTTTAAATGCTCTGTCACTATTTTTAACCCATCCACGCTATATGACATACTAATGGACTAACCAACATTAGTGGTGTATAAAGGATTATATGCGCTATAATGGATTCGAATTGCACAGGAAAGTGTGCCGAAACGTCATTACCTTGATGTAATTCTTGAAGGAATCTATCATACATCCACTCAAATTGGGAAAATTGAATTGGGGATTTTAGCCACATTCATGTTACTGTGAATTTCATTCAGATTAACATTAAAAAAATGTTGATTTAGACGCTCCTGAGAAGGTCTAAAAGTAGATCGCTCACTGGGAGAAAACACCTATTACCACAGAGCTCATTAAAGGGTTTAAACGCTCAACACAAAAACCAGACAAAACTATGCAGGCTTTTCTCATCGCAACTGAAACTGCACAAAGTTTGTTTTTTTCTTACGACATGCTCCTATAAGCCCTTTAACGCTGAAGAACCTTCCATTTAGAAAAGAGAAAAGAAGAAAAACAACAGGTGCACTGAGATTTTCTTTGACTTTTTTCCTACTTAATTTTCATTAAAGGTCAAATTTACAAGGGACACATTGAAGCTGATCACCCATCAAAAAAAAAAAGTATCTACAAAAAACTGACCTGCTAAATCTAAACATCGTACACCTCATATAACTCCGCCCCCAACTGCTAGTGCCCGCCTCCCTCCGACATAAGTGAGTCTATTTGAATTCTGATTGGTTCTCTGATTTAAACTACATAATCCGGTGATCCCGTAATATTCCGTTTGTGGGGGTCTCTTCCATGTCAGTTTTACCCATCAACTTCTTCAACTTTCTATTTTTGTCGTTTTGGTTGATTTTATTTGCAAAAAAGGAAATAGAGTCCATAGAAAATCCATTACTTGGGAGGGCACACGAAGGATTGTAGCTGGTCAGAACCGGGAATACGGCTGCTCTCTGTACACTCCTTTGCTTGTCCTTGCTGGTGGCGCCTTGTTGCGGTTGTTTGCCCATTCCTCCGGGCCTGAAGAGGGAGACAAAGAGCAGGAAGTTTATTAGTGAAACAGTCCTTTAGCTCTTGTTAGAAATGCGAGCATTCTGTAGTGAAACATGCTCATAAAACACTGAACAACATTTGTAAGATATGTTTCTTTCTGCGTCACAGACTTAACATTGACATGTTTGAGTGCATGCACAAATGTATTTTGGTGAATTAAATCAGTTTGTGTGATGACTGTAGTCAAATACAGTTTGTAAACGGACAATGAAACGTGTGCAGAAAGAAAACTAATAATACAGACGTGATAACACACATCAAAAGTCACATATAAAATGTGATTAAACACTGATTTACAGTCATTTTAATGGACTACTTATACCGACGGGTATAAGACTTTTAAATGAGTTGAAAATATTACCAGTGTCATGTTTTGGTGATGTGCTGAAAAAATGGGTTTTGTGTTTTATTTTTATTTTTTAATATTTACTCATTTTTATTACTTTTTCAACTCCCCCATCATAACTTATGAACACTGCTGTTTTGTTGAAATACTTTTTTTTTATTATAAATAAACAAGCTGGATCATATTTCACCCCAAAATAAAAATGAAAAGAAATTATATTCTGCATTAGGAAAATGAAGCATATTTTACAAAAAATAAGAATTTTTGGTATTGTGAAGCATTTTATTGTAATATTAAATTACAATATTATTTGACTAATTGTAGTATATATACGAAGAGTTCAGATGCAAAAGCCTCTAAGTGCCATTTGAAATTTTCTTCTAGAATGATCATTTTTATCAAGCTTGTATATTTAAGTTCAGTAATTTCACTCAAATGGCAATGAAGATTACCTATTAATTGTCATTTGAGTGAAATTACTGAACTTAAATATACAAGCTTGATAAAAATGATCATTCTAGAAGAAAATTTCAAATGGCACTTAGAGGCTTTTGCATCTGAACTCTTCATATATATATATATATATATATATATATATATATATATATATATATATATATATGTAATACATGATTTTGAAATTATAGTAATAAATATAAATTAAAAAACAAACAAATAAATAAAACAAATGAATAAATTATGGACTCATTGACATGAACATGGGGGAAATGTGGTTAATTTGTCAACATTTAATACAAATTATAAAATATAATACTTTTTTAAAATATTTTTTTAAATATAAAATGCATTTTTGGGGTAAGATGTGACCTTGAGCATGCTTCGACGCCAGTAAAGTGTAATTTCCTTGTAAGTTTGTGTTAAACAGGAACCGACTGGGACCCTGACAGTGATTTGTAGTTGTGGAACATGCAGCAATCCAAACCACCTTCAAATGCGACTTTTACAGAACAACACCAATCTTTAAAGTAACAAATCCCAAGAGTCACGACACCATCCACTGTCTTCCTCTCTGAGCTCATGGGATCTCTGATCATTTAGCCCAACTAACACTGACAATCAAAGAGAAACGTCCCCAAACCATCCTCCTTTTGTCCTTCACCTCAGAAAGAACAAAACAACTTTAATTGCACCAGAGGATCAAATAGCCACTTGAAAGGGGTTTAGTGGAGTGCCCTCAGGCGAGAGGTTACCGCCGCCATTAGCGTAACAGCAGAGCTCATTCACGAGCGTCCGCGTCGATGAGCGAGAGCGCTATCGACGGCAGCTTTTGTGTGATCTTGCTCGTTTTCAGTTCTTTTTAGGGACAGAAAGGCACAAAGGCAGTTTCTCTTAAATCACTCGTTTTTTCAGAATGGGAGCCATAGCCAATAATCTTTAATTAGAGAGCTGTCAATCTCAGGTTAGCCCACGCTAGCTTCAAGGAAAGGGCTTCACGCGCACTGTCCTTGCGTTTAGAAAGAATAAGGATGTGTATCAGCCGGATAATAGGAAGTTCTTCTTTGAACTGTCAAGCTGTCTGTGTTTTGTACCACCTGGAAAGTGTTAACTTGAGTGTTATGGATTGTGTGTGTGTGTGTGTGTGTGTGTGTGTGTGTGTGTGTGTGTGTGTGTGTGTGTGTGTGTGTGTGTGTGTGTGTGTGCGTGTGTGTGTGTGTGTGTAGAACTGTGTTTCAAATGTGGTTGCAAAGTGAAAACTGAATGGAAAATGACAACTAACTATATATTTTAGGGGCAACATTGTGTTTGTTGTGTTGGAACTGCACTCTAAAAATGCTGGGTTGTTTCAACCAAACTTTGGGTCAAATATGGACAAACCTAACCATTGGGTTACATTTTTAAATTACATTTTTAACCCAACATTTGGGTTTGTCCATATTTGACCCAAATCTATCTATCTATCTATCTATCTATCTATCTATCTATCTATCTATCTATCTATCTATCTATCTATCTATCTATCTATCTATCTATCTATCTATCTATCTATCTATCTATCTATCTATCTATCTATCTATCTATCTATCTATCTATCTATCTATCTAAACTACTTATGCAAACTTATAACTACTTCAAACTTTAAACATTCTGACTATTGACTATTGAAGCTATTAAATCTACTTCAAACATTTTGGTCAGTCTTTCTCAAACCAACATAAAGTTGGTCTTATCTATCTTAAGATAAAGTCTGGCTTAACATAACATGAAATAAAAAGAAAATCTATTTCTTAAGGAATTTGGAAAGTAGCAAAAACAATTATGATATGGTAAAGGTTTCCAATTTGACCTTCATATCACACACACACACACACACACACACACACACACACACACACACACACACACACACACACACACACACACACACACACACACACACACACACACACACACACACACACACACACACACACACACACACAAATCATTTTAAAGGAAAATCAACTTCTAGTGCCCAAAATAAAAAAAATAAACATAAAATGAAGTTTTAAAACTATATGGTAAACAAAACTAGCAGTTGATTCTGTTACAATATCATTAGTAAATTCACACAAATGCTTCAGTCTCCACAAATGCATATGTACAGTATATACACACTAAAAGCACACACACATTAATATTCTAGCTGCTGAGAAATATAATGGCACATCTAATCTTTTTTGGCTGGGACAATGAGCTTACAACCGCAACATCAGCAATTCCAGAGCATTGCAATTCTTTTCAAGATATCTCTGCCATATTTATGCTTTTCGGTCCCGACATTGTTCATAACCGCAAACGTATTTGCCTTCCATGGAACACTCGTCCGACAGCATCTTGATTCTTTCGCTGCATCCAAACCCGTCTCCTGTTTACATTCATTGTAACTGTCTGTTCGAGTAAATTCAATGCTGTTGTATAGATACTGCAACCAAAAGGCTTGCAATGCCAGCAGTATTTATAACAACAGTACAGCAGGAGCCGAGCGTGCTACAGGCAAAAGGAGACGGTGACAGACTCAAGGTTCCTGTACCAACTGGAGTAATTTTAAAATACAGTTTATTGTTTCATTGCATAGAGTGGAAATCAAGCAAGACATGCTGACAAACTACTGCAGTAATTTCATGTGATTATAAAACTGCATTGAGGGAAGAAAGAAGAAAAAAAAGACACTTACCGTAAGAGTCATATGATTCTGCACTGATACCATGGCTGTATTCATAATAATCCTCTGAGCTGTGGAAAGAAACGAGAGACATTTATTGAGCAAAATAAAATGAATGCTCGCTGACTGGCTGATCCATTTTATTGATCCATTGTCAAGAAAAAAAACATATTTCTATTGACACTGTGTTTGTATGTGCATTTATAGACAGAGAGAACGAAAGTGAAAGGTGGTGAAAGTTCAAGGTATGTGTCTGCGTAGATTTTTTGTTCTTTTTAAATTCTGTGTGTGCATTTAAATGGTTTTATAATTGTCCCTACATATGATTTTTGATTATGTGTTATGTTTGACTCATTTCAGTTTGTGCTGCTAAAGTAACTGTTCTTTTTTTTGTGTGCTGCAATATCCGGCCTTGACACATTTCAACTAACTAAAGACAGAGAGGACCAAAGTGAGAGAAAGATGGTGAGAGTTCAAGGTATGTGTCTGCTTTTATGACACTAGTTGCTCCCTATTTAAATTGACAAAGCAACATCTCAGCAGGCACATGAAGCAGAATAACCCATCGGAGAAGCTATTTTCCGAGCAGATTTGCGGTGCGCCTGCCTTTTATTGCTGCATCTCAGAAGTTTTGCTCCTGGGTCTCTGTTCCCTTTCTGCTTCCAAATTGAGTTTTTCTCCCATAGGCCCCTCAGCTGAGCTGTCCAGTGCCAATCACAGCTGACTGCTAACCATATCCTGATGTTCATGCTCCCATAATTCCACTGGCCTCCCATCAGTGTGGATGGTGCTACAAGAAATAGAAGCATTACTGAAAAAATGATCTCAGCTTCGACCAGGGAGTATTCTTCCGATTTAGACCTTGTGTTACATTGGCAGAATTATTTGTTATTCCTCCCATTATTTCTATAGAAACTATTTGGTTCCATAATTTCAATAACTCCTCATATCCTTATAATAACTCCTTTCAAATCTATTGTAACTCAGTGCTTCCCATTAATTACTGTACCTAGACTGTGGCGGCCCGCCGGCCTATTCTTTATGACTAGTTTCATAATGTACTGAAAATATTTTTGACCTTCTCATAATAACATAAAAGTTCGTTGACATTTTGGGCCCGGTTTTAAAGATCGAAGTGCATGGTCTAAAGCGCACGGCGCAAGTGCACTTATGGCGTGTCCGAATCCACTTTTGCTAGATCAACGACAGGAAAAATGGTCGGCACACCCGGTGCATGGTCTAAAAGAGTTGTCCCTATTCTCTTAATGAGTAATGGGTGTGTTTTGGGCGTAACATTAAAAAAAAAATCAACCAGGGTCTCATATCCCATTCCCTTTAAAAGCCAGTTAGGCTCGCGCCATGGCGGATTCGAACACTTCTCTAGCGAGGAAACGGATCTGCGCCCTTTAAATATAAAAAAATAGTGCACCATTGACTTTAGACCAGGTTTTTGTTGGTCAATGGCACAGTCTATTTCAGTTGCCCCAAAATAGCAACATGCCAACAATGTGCCTGAACGGTAACACTTTACTTGAAGGGGTGTGCATAAGACTAACATGACACCTTCATAATCATGACATGACACATGTTATGAATATGAAGGAAGTTGTATGCATGTTTATGACAACTGTCATTAAGTGTCATTCGCTCAGTTATGACATTTTTAATGCAAATATGACATTGTTTGAAATGTCTTTATTATGACACCTTGACATAAGCAAATACATCATAACCTGTCAGTGTCTTTGTCATGACATCTTGACATTACTAAGACAACACAACCTGTCATACACATGACCTAGCAGATTAATTATCAAACTTAAGAAACCACTTAGCTTTATTGGTTAAAATGAAACTGTCAGGTGGTTGGTTTTGACATTGGCTGTCATGAAGCCATTATAACTGTTTAATGACAAATTCAATTTGTACCACTGTAGTTGAGGTCACGAAAAATATTCATGACACAGTTATAATGGCCTCATGACAGCCAGTGTCAAAACCAACCACATGACAGTTTAATTTAATTTAATGTCAAGTTGTCATGACAAAGACACTGACACGTTATGATGTTATGGTTTATGTCAAGATGTCATAACAAAGACATCTTAAACAATGTCATATTTGCATTCAAAATGTCATTATTGAGCGAAAGACACTTAATGACAGTTGTCATAAACATGCATAAACCCTACTTCATATTCATGACATATGTCATGTCATGGTTATGAAGGTGTCATGTCAGTCTTATGCACACCCCTTCAAGTAAAGTGTTACCGCCTGAACACACCTAATTTTTTTAGACCAGCAGCCCATGGGCGCAAATGCATTTGTTATTTAAGCAACGTGGCGCAGGACGTGAAAATGATAACTGCGTCAGGCTGAAACTAGCAAAAAACACTTTTGGACGACGGCACATGGACATCGAGGCACAGCAGCACCTCAGACAGCATGAGTTCGAGTCCCAGCGAAAGGTACTGTTCCCTTCTCGTCCGAGACAGTCCTGTCCATTAAAGAAAAAGAAAAAAAAAAACAACGTCATGAAAAAAAAGCTCCCTCTGAAAATATTTGAAGAGTTTGGTTCCAAAACGCGATAAACGCCATTAAAAAAAAAAAAACGAGTTACTGCAAAAATCAGTATTGTATCTGGTTGGTATTGAAAAGTCAATGTTTAATTTTAAGTCAAATGCGATATCCGCCGTGTTATTCTGCCATGTTTTCTCCCTTTCTTTCCAAACTGCGACAAACGCCAGTCTCCCTTCTCTACAGAATGCGATATATCCGCTCTCAACCAATCACAACGCACCATTCCACGCAATGTAAACAGTAACGGCAGCGCCTTAAATACACCCGGCTTCCTAGTTTTTCTTATCTATTTTGTACTTTTCGATCAACAAACAAAAACAAAAAAAATAATAATAATTTTGACGGCATTGATGAACCTGTGTTTGTTTGCGGTGGGTAAGAAACGTAAGGCATCGAAATCGAATCATTTACGTGAGGAGATTAAGAAGATGAGGCAATCGGGAGGAGGAAAAATGTTTTCAATCTTCTTTACAGTTCTTAATAAAAATATTATACAAATAAACTTACGTTGTTGTGTATTTTCAACAGTTTCAATATGAAAAAAAAACCTTTTATATTGATTCAATGGATTAATTGCATTTTGATTTAAAAAAAAAAGGATTTATTGCATTTTGGGGAAAAATTATCCGTTTTTATAATAAATCTTTGAAAATCAAAACCTGGATTTTAATTTTTTTTTTTTTTTATTATGACCTACAAATGCTATGTGAAAGTTTGAAACAGAAAATAGTGGTTTTCATCTTTCCACTTTCTTGGTAAAGAAAACACATTTTTACTCAAATTAATCTAAATGGATTTATTGCGTTTTGGAACCAAACTCTTCATTTGTCTTGAAAGAGATTACAGCAAGACAATAAAAATGTTCCCCTGTTTCTCATTTTGGACTCTCAAATATCTCAGTTGTGTCTACTCTTATTTCTCCTAAGTTTTAGGAAGCGTAGGAAAAGCAACCACCGAGGAATACATTTTTCCTCTGGGTAGTCTCTCAAAATCCTGTGGGAAACACGGGTAACTCTTCCTCTTTCCTATCACAACCACTTCCTCATTCCAATCATACTGTCAAAACCCCTCCCCTTATTCCGATCATAATATTATTGACTCCTCCCCTCATTCGCAAGAGATACTCACACATACAACAATCAACCTTCAGTGGCTGAGAAAAGAGTGTCTTTGATTTTCATAAACTGTTATGCAGAGAGGAAATCCCATGTCAAAGCTCACACAGAGGTGCCTATCGCTAGCCTGCTGTTACTGTTAGTTTCACGCTCAAAATGTGTCTGCACACCAGGGAGAAGAAGATATGAGAATGAGAGAGAGGGTTCTGCTGGGATTGCATGTATGAATGAAGACCTATGGAGCACAACTAGGGTCACTATTCTCCTCAGATTCCAACACACAAGCTCAGGAAGCTCGTGAGGGCTGGGAGGAGGCTTTATATCATATATGTGTGATGAAATTCCCCATTTCCACCGCGCATGAAGGTGAAATTGAAGAGACCTAAAGCTTTTGTGTTCAGTAATGCATCAGTCAACTTCACAACCTGCTGCCAGATGCATCTCTCTCTGCTGTTTCACACCACAAAGAACCTCTTCTCACCAACCTGAACACCAGCCTGGAGTTCAAACCTAGTTAGACACCTTTAATTTCGTCTCTGACACATCGTCAATATTCCTTCTTTCCTTGATTCGTCTCTCTCCCTCTCCTCCAGAGCCGAGTTTGTTCTGTTCTACTCAATTACCCTGTTCAGCTTTGCCCCAGTCGAGGTAGAGCGTTAGCAGAAATGATTATGCATTAAAGTCACACACAGTCCAATTCCTCCAATTAGCAACACACACGTGTAAACACTGCAAACACGCTGTCGAATGAACTACAATCACCCAGAGGAACATTTCACTCCTCTGAGGAGACTTAATGGAGTTATCAGGTACGCTGCATTTTAGTGTTAACCTACAAGTATCAAACATGCTTTGGAGTACTTCCTAGTTGAATTTTTAGTGAACAAGAAAAGTGCAGAATTATAAATATATGATTTCAATCATCATTTAAAAAAATATCTTAAACAAAGGAGTAAGTCCATTAAAACATAAATGCATACATACAATTAAAAAAGAAAAAAATATTGGGGGGTATTTTAAAACATAAGTCTATGTGCAGGTAAAATATAAATAAAATAAAATAAAATAAAATAAAATAAAATAAAATAAAATAAAATAAAATAAAATAAAATAAAATAAAAAGCAGATCCCAGATGTTTGACAAAGTGATCGCGTTTCCTCAGGACGGGCGCTCGCTGACTTGACATTCATAAAGGCCTTGCTCGCTCTCCCTCTCTCTCTCTCTCGTGTGGTTAAACAGATGGTGGGGTTAAATCTGAATGATGTACTACATGTCCCAGGTGATCTCTGCGTCTCCTCGTTCTCTCGTCTTGTTTTCACAGCTGGTAAATCAGCAGTGGGGCGTCTGTGACGAGTCTCGCTGGTCTAATCTA